AAGTAAGTAAGTTTTGGAAAAAAATAATTCCAAACCACAGTTGAAAAGCAAGGACTCTCCTTTATAATAAAGGTGCACTGTATGCTCAGAATGTGTGGGTGGTGATCCACTGGGCTGGGTGAGAGACCCGAGGCAGCCTGCGACTGAGACGAAAACCAAAACGCCACCCTTGACTTTCCTCTTCCCATGCAACCAGCATTTGAAATTGGCAATGACACAGTGAAAAAGAATACCTTTAGCCCAGGGGTGGCCAACTTTGGCATCTTTAAGAGCTGTGGACGTTAAGATCTGTGGACTGCCAGCCGTCTGGGGAATTCTTGGGATTAAACTTCACAGGTCCTAAAATTGCCAAGGTTGGACATTCCTGGTTTAGCGAATCCAGAACAGTCCCCGTGACACAGCACAACGTAATCCCACTGAGGCTTGTAGCAGTTGAAGGAGAGCACGAAGGCAGGGGTGGGATTCCAATTTTTTTAATACCAGTTCTGTGGGCGTGGCTTGGTGGGCGTGGCAGGGGAAGGATATACTGCAAAATCCCCATTCCCTCCCCACCCCACTAACCTGCTTTCCAGCTCCATTCTCCTGTGCAGGGCAACCAAAGGAGACCCAGCCGATCAGCTGGGATTCAATGGGAGGCGGAGAAGAGATGGGGGCAGGGCCAGTCAGAGGCGGTGTTGGCTGGTTCTCCCAACAACTCAAAATGTCCGCTACCAGTTCTCCAGAACTGGTCAGAAGCTGCTGAATCCCACCTCTGATTCTAAGGCTGATTGTTCTACCTGTTGTTATTAGTTTGGTCTTTATATTTAATTCCAGTCCCATTTTTTTCCCATGAATCTGCTTTTACTAAAACTGAAAAAGAAGACTTGCAGATCCTTAGCATTCTCAGCTATCGGGACAGAGTTATCCATGTAACACAGGTTATTGATGCTTCTTCCTCTAATTGTAAAATCACACACACCAGCGGTGGGATTCAATTTTTTTTACTACTGGTTCTGTGGGCGTGGCAGGGGAAGGATATACTGCAAAATCCATCCATTCCCTCCCCACCCCACTAACCTGCTTTCCAGCTCCCTTCTCCTGTGCAGGGCAACCAAAGGAGACCCAGCTGACCAGCTGGGACTCAATGGGAGGCGGAGAATACATGGGGCTGGTGGGGCCAGTCAGAGGCGGGATCGGCCGGTTCTCCGAATTACTCAAAATTTCCACGACTGGTTCTTCAGAACCAGTCAGAACTGGCTGAATACCACTTCTGCACAAAAGGCATCTCCCTAACAGGATAACTTTAGCGGGGGGAGGTTAAAGTCCCCAACTACTTTAGCGGGGGGGGAGGTTAAAGTCCCCAACTACTCACTTCTGTGCAAGGATTGTGCACGTAGCATATGCCAGATTTTGGCCAGCCACCTGCTAAACACAGTTCTGCAACATGCCTCAAAATGGAAGGAGGAGAAGAAGGAAGGGAGAACTGGCGGCTCGGTTACGGTTCGAGAATGTTTAGGGGCTCTTCCAGTTTAAGCCAATTTGCAACCGGGACATCTGGATTCAAGCGAGGAAAACCAAGCCAAGGATTAAGAAGGAAAAAATAAATCACAGGCGAGAGCAATTTGCAAAGAAAGCCCGCGAATCCACTTTTTGGCAGACTTTCCAAAGCGCGCAGTTGAGGCTGAGCTGCAACTGCGAAAATTGGTTTCCTGCCATATTTTTTTTTAAAACATGAAAAACACATGAAAACTCGATAGGGAATCTTTTTTTTTTTTAAGGCTTATTATGATAACGACAGAACACCCTTGTAAAAATTCCCCAAGCCCAGAAAACAAAAAGGAGGGGGAAGGAGAAAATCCCAGGTGACCTCAATTCCCCATTCCATCACAGCTCTGGTTAGTATGGAAATGTGGTGGCCCTTGGCAAAGCGGCTTCACACCTGGGGTACAGCTGTTTGCGCGGTTGCACTGACATCTGAGCAAGATTGTTTACAGGCCTCCTCAGCGCACCTGCATAATCCCCTCTTTTCAAGAACCACACAGCCTCTGTTTCTAACTGGTTTTTGTAGGTGTTGTGGCAGCCACCGGTCCCTCCAGCAGCCGAATCAGAGGAGGAGGAAGAGGAGGCAGCGTGGGAGTTAGAGTCAGGGGGAAGAGGGAATGGAGCTGGCAGAGAAGAGAGAGAGGGAGAGACAGAGACAGAGGTGGAATCTGGTCCGTCCATCAGCCCTCAGATGGAGAGTCAGCAGTCCCCAGGTCTGGAGGTGGCTGATGAGGAAGAGGAAGAACAGCTGGGTCCAGTGCCTGTGGATGCACAGAAGGACCAGCCCATAGGGGAGAGGAGAGCAGTGGAAATCTATGGGCCAGTCCTTGGGACGGAAGAGCCACCACTGCTAGCGAGGCCCCATCTTAGCTCTGGAGACAAAAGGCAGGGGGCGGAGATGAATAGATGTGACAGACAACTATTCACCTCCCTGCTGGAAAGACTTGTTAGCCTGCAGTGAGAAAGAGATTTTTTTTGCCAGAGCTGTCGGTGCTCCCAATAAAGGAA